TTTCATAATTTATTTCAACTGTTTACGCTACTTTCTATGCCAGCAAAGTCAATGTAATTTATCATCATTTTTTAAAAAATGTGATTTTTCAATAGGCTGCTGCATGTACTAAATTAATTTTTAATGCATAATTTTGATTATTCTAACAAGTGGTGACCCTAAGTACAAAAAGGTAACAAAAAAATCCACTTTCTGTAAGTAAGTATTAAACTGTAACACGTTTAAGTTCAAAAAAATATTTTTAATGTTGAAATATTTAGCAACTTTAAGGTACAATTACTCAAAAACTGTAAAAAATTAGTCAAAAACAACTGCAATAATGGATTATTTGGGTAAAAAACTAATACCCTACAAAATTTCAGGTGATCACCATCTTTATTTAAAAAGTTATGGTTTGTCAAAAATCGAAAAAAACTGCTGTAAGCTGATTACACAAATTTTTTCGGATTTTGGTCATTTTTAATTCAATCATAACTTTTGAACAAATTGGTCAATCAAGTTGAAGTTTTCAGGATTGTATTTTTTTCATAAAATCTGTGTGTGGTCAAAGTTTAAAGCAAATCTAAGATGGTACCCTGGGGAACTTTCAAATTACTAGGTGATTTGATATGGAATAACCCGGGTATAGTACACAAATAGGCGGTCACATTTATTTAAATCCCAAAATCAGACTATTTTGTCTGTGAAAACATGGTTTTAAATATGAAAAATTAATTCTTTCAAAGACAAAAATAATGTACAATTCTAAAGCATGTTTTACCAAAAAAAAAAATTTTTTTCTTTTTTTAATATTAATTCACCTCCTAAGGCCAAGAAGGTCAATGCAGTCAAGGAGTCTACTTTAATTGTGGTTAAAACACTCTCTCAATTCTATAACTCCAATCTTGACAAACAAGTCCTCTGAAATCAAGTCCTCTGAAATCAAGTCCTCTGAAACAAGTTAAGTTAAAATGCATGCTTGCTGTTGTTATTCAATTAAGCAGCTCATCAGTCTGGATGCATTGATTTAGTTGCTTTATCATCAGTCTGGATGCATTGATTTAGTTGCTTGCTCTGAATCCCATTTGCTCTAACATCATAAGTAAGCAGTTATGGCAGACAAATTGATCAACATAAAAAAAAGTGTCTTCGGGGTAAGAGTAGTGCTTTGGAGATTTTGGTAGGAGCATCTTAACCCAGCACTCTTTAAAGAGTAGTTATATTCAAGAATATTCCATTAACTGCTGCATTGAATTTACAGAGTATTTCAATGAATGAAAATGCCAAGAAGCAAGCAATTTTTTCAGCCAACTGTTAAAGCAAGTCAATATTTTTCAAAAGCTTTCAGCAATAATTTTCTACAAATTGCTCTCTGTGAAATGTCTTTTACTGAATGTTTACAATTTTGGTTATTCTGTTGTTGTTGGCCAGAACTAAGACTTACCTAGTCAAGTCTAAGTGGTTTACCACCCCAAGGCACAAGTGAAGCTCCATAGGTGGAATAAAATCTAGATTCAGAGTATCATCTGGTAACATGATAATGGAATCATGAATAGCAATTTGAAAGTCGGTTGTTCTTGTGGTGTTTGTTGTGGCAGTTTTAAAAGCTTTGAGATTACTTTAAATGGGCCTAAAGGTTCTGAGTTTGCCAATCTGGCAAAATTTTTTGGACTTTATACTACACTTTACAAGTGCAAGGGTAAGCACATGAATGAAATTGTAGACTACACACAATGTTGGTAAGTTTCATATCACATGATAAAATAAAAGCTATTCTATCAAGATCCAACTTGTTCAGTACCTGCTGACATTTTCATTGTTTTCAGGAAAATTTTCTGAAATTGCAATCATTATTTACCACTTCTTAGATGGAGGAGATTCATTCTGTATCTCTAAGTTAAGAACTCTAAGAAAGACTTATAAAAACTAACCTCCATCCAATCCAAATTTAAATATATAGTCTAATCCTGTGCCCCTATCTCGACTATATTTCCACTCAGTACCTCTAAGTCTTTGCAATATATTAAAAGCTTTTTTGACTCTGAGGTGTTGCAATTTGTTATATCACTAATTTCTGAAGTATCAAACAAATCAGGAAGGTATTTCCCTAACTAAACTTGTCAGTTTCTTTTGTTAAAGTTGCTCAATAATATAAATTTTAAACGTGATATATGATATAGATTAAATAATGGTGAAACGTAAAATGTGATATAGATTAAATAATGGTTTAAATGTTTAAACATGTAATGTGACATAGTTTAAATAATGGTCAAGTTTAAAAAATGGTCATATTTCCTGCATTCATCATGATTCGTTTTTTTGTTTGGCATTTTGAGAGAACAAAGTAAGCTGTTAACTTTTAAAGTTAAACATGTACTGATTTTGTGTTTTACTGATATTTATTTTAAAGCAAAACTACTTTACAGAACACAGTCATAAATTTTTACAGACAGAACACAGTCATAAATTTTTACAGACAGAACACAGTCATAAAACATAAATTTTAAACTCCAAATTAAAAAAAAATTAAACTTGAAAATAATGATTATTTAAATCAACGAAAGAAAATAAAGATTTTGATTTTTGAAAATAATGATTTTGGGATATATACTAATGTGATCATCTATTTGTTTACAACCATGCCCCAAAAGGTTTTTCTCGGAATATAAAGTTTAAATTAATTATCATTTTGTGACATTGTGAAGTTTTAGTCAAGTACAAAATGAAAGGATTTGCCAAACATGTTGTCACGTTGGTTTGACAAGGTTCTAACTGAAATTTTTTATATTTGGAAAATTTAGATAAAAATCTTTTAATTTTTTTTTTAATGCTTAATAAAACTATTTATATTTGTTTATGTATTCTTTTTTTAGTAAACAAAATATAATCATATAAATTATATTTATATGATTTATATGATGAAATTATTAGTTTATTAGAAAGATTTATATGATTTATATGATGTAAAAATATTTATATGATTATTTTTTGTTTACAAAAGTAAACAAAAAATAATCATATAAATATTTTTATTTTATAAACATTTTATATTTAAAAAAGAAGCTTTTTTGCTATTCTCCTAATATAAAAAAAAATCAGTTTTTGTCAAACCAATGCGACAATGTATAGGTGTTAAGTAAGGTAAAGTATTATGTAAAAGTATAAGATAACATATTGTGTAGTTGTCAAGTTAAGTACATTCAGACTTGTGGGGATGTTCAAACTGTGAAAAATTTAGTTATTGTAGTATGTTTCCTTGGTATACAAAGGAAATGCACAAGTCCAAAAACATCATTTTGAGATAATGAACAAATAAGTATTTGCATAATAGTTAAAATAATAAGTTTTTGTGTAATAGTTGAAATAAAAATTGATTTATTAAATTTGTGTAGTATATCAAACGATAGAGAATTTAAAATACTAAATAGTATACTAAAAACATTATACTGTCAAAAACGAACCAAGTACATTTTTGGAAATATGGAGTTATTTATACATAGATTTATTGCGATCAGCGAAAACATCTTATTTATCAAAAAGTCTTCAGTAGCAAAATTTCACAATTTTGTCATGCATGGCATTAAAAGTATAAGTCAAATTTTCACAATTGATACTCAAGACTTTTGCATAAATAAGATGTTCTGGCTTGTAATAGTACAAATTAAGGAAAACTAGATTTTCAATAACTAAATGTTTATGAAAATAAAAATATAAAAATTTTCAATTTTAAACATTAAAAACAGTTCGATCCCTACCACGTCCCTGGTAGTACCGCGCTCAACTGTAGTGGCCTTCTCGGCCTTGAGAAAGTAAATAACACAAAAAAAAAAAAAAAAAAAAAAAAAAACCATCTTATGTTACTTTAATAAAATATATAAATAACTTGATTTAAACATTTTTTAAAATGTTTTTAAAGTTTTTTAAATGTACCCTGGAAAGTTCACAAGTTTGAAAAAGACAGATTATGTATAAAAAACAACACACTCACACTATGAGAAAAAACAACTTTTTTACGGTACTTAAAGTTTCATGCCGTTTTTGACACTCATCAGCCATATGGCTGATATGGCTGATGAGTGCCGAAAACGGCATGAAACTTTAAGTACCGTAAAAAAGTTGTTTTTTCTCATAGTGTGAGTGTGTTGTTTTTTGGTAATGTGTGTTGTTAATGGTAAGCAATTAAAATCAAGTTTTGCAGCATTTTTCTAATTTACTTACATTTCTAGTTTACTTACATTTTGCAGCAAATTTCTAATTTACTTAAACCTAAGAATAAAATATTTGGAACTAACCCTATTCAATTTATGCAATATCTAATTTTCTTAATTACATATGATACCAACAGTTTTTAAAATTATTCTCCCTTTTTGGTATTCCTGATTGTATACACTCAGAAAGTGGACACATTTTAAAGAAAAAGTTCAAAAACTTTTAGATAACACTATGTTGACTTCAATGGAATGATAACACCATATTGGCTTCAATGGAAAGACCATTGATGGGTTGCAAGAATAAATTGTGACATCATTAATAAAATGATCATCTTAACAATGTTTTGATTTTTAAAAACTAATTGTTACTTTATCTAAAAAACTGATTGTTACTGATTTTTAAAAAATGATTTTTACTGATTCCTAATGTCTTACTGTCAAAGATTATGCATTATAACAGACAAGCTCAGAAATAAGTTATCCTAAGCTTTCAAAATGCTTAAAAAAGTTTTTTAAT